ACAGTCGATTTTAAACTAACTTTAAGTTTCCACTGGCTTCCCCTGACTTTTATTCCCTTCACCCGAACAAGTTAATAAAAGCGAGATTTTTTTTTATTTATTTGTTTGGTGATTGATCTCATTCTATGTAGTTTCCGCTGGACAACATTTCGACTCGTACTCGAAAATTCACATAGCGGTAATACCCAGTCAGAAGTACTCTTTCCTTGAAAGAACTCACAGTTTGATTATGATGCATGCAAAATGTTCGAGCTGTTCAAATTTGCACTTTTCGAATACGAATCGACCCACATATGCTGTGAATAGAGCTGATGGAGCTCCGCTCAAGTGGAAATTGCTTAGCTCAGTCTCTCAACGGCTCCGGTCGCTGACTTCGACTTCGATTTCGTCTTTGGCAATCAATCAATTGAAGTGGCCCAGGCCTCCTCCATGCAGCATACGGGAAAATTATGAAATTCTGTGAGGCGGACATCCTGCAGTGAAAACGGCGAACCAGTTGTTAAAGGTGCGCGTGTCTGAGAAGGTAGTCATGGCCAATTATGTCACACACACACAAGGCACGAGGCAAGCTGTAATCAAAACTGGTTACCTTGACATTGTCCATTGCAACGACTCGCAAATCGCAATTATGCCTCAACGAGCTGCGTCGTTCACTGACTGACCGACTGACTGACTGACTGACTGACTGATTAAGTGACTGACTGAGAGATTGACTAAGACTGCCTGCAACTGCTTTGGACTTCTGTGTTGTAGCTTTAATTGGGTCAGGGGGCCGTCTAATGGCCACATTAAATTGGATTAACACATTGCCGATGCACTGGGACGCCACCGAGCGGCCGAAACAACTAGCAATTTGCTGTAATTAAATCCAGACTCGAGTCGAAGTCTTGCCTTGCACTTAAATGGCGCATTTAATGGTGTAATATCATTTGTGCGCATTGCGCTTTTAATTTCTATTTATGTCTCTTTGGCAATTTCTCTTAATTGCAACAGCAGCAGCAGTAGCAGCAACAGCTTCAGCTATGCAACAGGCAACTGTAACAGACTTGAAGCAAGCCGCAACTGACTCACTTCATGCCACACACAATATGCCGCCAGACGTGGACGTGCGACAACGTTTTGATAAACTGCATTCAAGTCACTTTCGACCCACAGTTGACGCCTTTATCAATTTTTCGTATACCCTGAACCCATTGAAAATTAAAAAAAAAGGGTATAATAGATTGATGCAAATATATGTAACAGGCAAAATAAAGTGTCTTTAGCCCTTAATGTATTCAAATTCTTGATCAGGACGAGGAGTTGGGGTCGAACAAACCATATCTGACTGTCTGTGAGAGCTAGTCGATCTGGGAAAATATAAAAAGTTGAGAACTGAAATTGGAAAGATATATTTACATACTCCTATACTTCACGCAGAGAAAGTTTGTAATACTCAATGTCTTCACCCATTTTTATAATATCAATAAATATAGATTTTGAGACATTTTTATTGAAGTTATGAGCTTTCAACAAACATGGCACATAGCTATTTTATTTTTTGGAGCGGAGGCATCCCATTTCCCCCAAACTTTTGTACAAACAAATATAATTTTTTAAAGAAAAGCTTAGGCCCGAAAAATTTCATATAAATCAGGGTGCTTGGTATCTCCTTGCCGGGCATTCCCGACTAGAGCACACTTGCTTGCCTTTTTTTTGGTGCCCACCAAAGTGTCAAATGCGCCCATGATTAATGCGTTTTAGAGTTCTAAATTCTGAAATTTAAATACTGAATTGTGATTTCACACTGAACCATTGGAGGGCAGCCGGTTCAAGAAGTTAACAAATTCAATTTTCTACTTTATCAATATGTGCGCATTCAAAATATGAAAGGGAGAACATGTGTGTGCGTTTATCTACGGTCGTGTTTAGTTTATTTTAAGTTCAAATAAACTAATTTATCATGCCATTAGATAGTGCATGCCAGCCTTGAAGTCAATCTCCGGGCAAACATGTGTGTAAATAAATAATTGGCCAAAGCCAATACAAAGGGGCGACCCAAATAAAGCCTTGACTAGCTGCTACTATAGAATGCATACGCACCAACATTGATTAGAGGCCTATTGAAGAATGGTAAATACTTTTCAGAAGGCGAATCGAGGGGAGTGTCAAGAGATAATAATTGTTGGTCATGCATTTAAACACAAAGTAGGCATGAATTCTTTCAGAAAAGAATAGCTCAACTCACTTTAAGCTCAAATGCGCTTTACAAATATTTCTTGGAAATAATATTTTCCGAAAAGGTTAGTTTTTGTATTCGAAAAGAAAACTGTAACAAAATTGAGTTTAAGAGTTTCACCGAATTTCTTTTCTGAACTGCATAACAGTTCACGGATTTCCTTAAATTCTATATTATCTTAATAATTTTCACAATCAATGGAGAAATTCCTTTGAATTTGTATTAACTTGAACTTTCAAACATGAGTTGGGACTAAATTTAACATATATTTATAAAAGCCCAAAACAGTCGCTGACCTCACCCTGAAAAGTTGTTAAATGCCAAAAATTGATGCATTTAACACACGTTTATTAAACTGTAAGCACTTAATCGAACTTTTGAACTTTTACTGAGTTTTTTGTTCGTAGTCAATCAACTTTGTCCAGCCTTGGGCTATTATTAACATCTTTAAGCTATTACTAAAGATACCAAACTCTTTTTTTTTATATTTTATTAATTTATTTTTATAAAGACTTAAAATTAAATTAAAAGTGAATAATAGCAAAAGTCTTTAGTTAGAAGGTAGTATACACTTAAATATCAGACATCTTAACACGTATTTACATTCATGGTTTTATTTGGGTAAAAGGTGATTGATTTCAATTTCTATTCTGAGATTGTTTTTGGAATTTTAAATTTTCCTAATCAAATCTTAATATCGACGACCTTTGGGACACCAGACACCAGCTGCTGGTGTTAGATTTAGGCTCCCTATCTCTCTCCTGTTTACAGTAAAAAACCAATTGGCTAATTTTCGAAAAGATATTGGCCATATTTTATATAAACGGCATCATCGACAGAGCTATCAGCAAAATGAAATGAAATGAAATTTCCCACTCAACTGTACACACTTGACATTTTGGCATTAGCATTTACATAAATCATATTGGCGGCGGGAATTTAAAAAGCCAACGCTAAAACTTAAACCAAACACGACGTAGCCAATAATGTTGTTATTGTTGTTGTTGTCGCTGTTGTTGTTGATGATGCCGATGACGGCATTTCCATCTGGCGACTTCAAATGTTATTCATAATGCCGAGTTTCGTATTACTTGGCAATTTGTTGCTGCTCCCATGCCAAAAGGTCAGCTGCAAAAAAAAAAAATCAAGAAGTAACAACTATCTACAGCACTTCAAAGTCTAAATACCCTAAGAGTGTGTTTCTTTAACAACATTTTATTGCCAACCAATAGCTGTTTTAAGTGGCATAGTATATCCTAGACCGATTTGATATGGGCATATATATATTTCATGTTTTGGTCATTTTTCTTTGGGGATACCCGATATTTTAGTTTAAGGCTTATCATATTATATTATTTGTAAATGCCAAGCTTTGCCAAGAAAAACATTATGTACCGATCGGGCCAACCTCCAAAATTGTCTGCAACACTAAAAAGCGGACCTATACAGAACTTCGAATCGTTTAATAATATTGATCAAGAATATATTTACTTTACCCAATTCTTAAGCCTTCTATGCGTTACAGAATTTGTGCCAAAGTTATAAAACCCTCTACAAGAGCATCAAAAACTGAGCAAGCCACAATGAAGAAGTCGACAACAATAAACATAAATAGGGGCAACCTAAGAGACCCACAGACGCCAAGGAAACCGGTTGCTCCTTGCGAGGACCTGGCTTCCTGGCGGTTCGTTATTGACTTTAGATTCGCGTCCCACACTCTCGTCAACGCCCCCTTTCAGCTCATGTTTTGTGCTTCGTGTCGCTCAATTCATGGCATTTCCAAAGGCAGCAGCTGGCAGAAGACGTAGAAATAGGTGCTGCCCCTGCGGCCAGCGGCTACTGAAATCAAGCACAACACAATATGGCGAATTATGGCGCTTCCTCATGACCTTTAAAAGTGGCAGCATCTCCTGCTCGCCGACCTCACGAGTTATGCAATTACGCGCCACATTCACATTCTCAATCGTTGCGCATTTGTAGCTGATGCTGGGCAGGAGCTGCTGAGGGGAGTTGCTGCTGGGCAGGAGCTGCTGCTGCTGTTGCTGCTGAGTCAGCCAATGGGCTGAGTTGCTTTCGAAGGCGTCGCACTCATAAGTGCGTGATAAGCATTTTGATTTATGCCATTGAGGAAGTAACACGCACACACACCTAGCTAGAAAGATAAATAGATACAGTCTGTTGCAAGTAATCCTTAATTGAACGTTGCAAGCAAACTAATTTTATGGCATATTAGCAGACCATTAATTATCATAGCGTTATAAATTTTAATGCCGATTAATTGCTGCCAAAACACAGACAACAACAACAACAACAACAAACTGCGAACATAACTAGCGCTTGTAGCACACATGAAAGTTGTTGCTGCTGCTGTTGTTGCTGCTGTTGCTGTTGTTGCTGCTGCTTATGTTGCCGCTGCAATTGCTACAAACCATTCCAAAAAACCAAACAACTCTCCAAAGCAGAGCAATGCGTGCCACTGGCCAAAATGTCTTCCTGTTGTGCGTGGGTTGACTTCATCGTCCATGTCGTCAGATGCTGCTGCTATTGCTGCTGTTGCTGTTGCTGCTGTTGCTGCTGTTGCTGTTGCTGTTGCTGCTGATACGGATGACGATGGCAGCGTTGTAAATGACAGCGTCATCAAATTGCCCGCACGCGTCATAAACCCGAAAAACAAAAACGAAATCAAAGCAAGTTTAAAAGATTCGGTCTAGACCGAAACGAGATTTATCTACATATATAAAATTTGAAAAATTAAATAGAGTTTTGTCGTTTTTCTTTTCAGTTCAGTTAATACCTATGGACACTTGTGTTAAATAAGAATGATTTCTCTTCGTGAAGGCCCAACAAGAGTTAGATAAAAATGTCAGTAAGTAGAAATCCAAATTTAAATCTCAAATATTGCTCAGAGCTTTTTTTGGACAGGCCTTAAATTATCTTTTCGCATAATTAAAATCTAGTTAACTAACAACAAATTTTATCAACTAACATTATTAAATTAAATATCAATTATATTTCATTGGTGCAATAATACACTGCAAATATTTTTGAAAGAATTATTTATTTAAGAAGTGCACAAGGCGATCAAGCTATCTTTAACTTTTGTTGTCTTCTTATAATTCTTAAGCGGCCTTTTCTTTGACTTGATCTTGATCAGAAAACCTGTATCTTCTTGGCACCAAAGTATGTCAAAATCTTTTTCTTAAACCCTCAATATCTGCGAACTAGGCAGATGGCTTTTTGTTAGCTGAATGTCAATGTTGATAGTCTCTTTAGCTTCCATGAGGCTTTTTATAAATGGATCTTAATATTTTCTGTAAGCTTTCAAGGCATAAACATAAGTGTCAAAAATCATGCAGGTATTACCAAACTTTTATATATTTTATATTCTTTATATTAGTCTTTACTCAACAATATCTTTCCCTGCCTCGGAATCTCCTTCATTCTGACTCGCAACCTGTTTCGGCACGGCTTGACTCATATCGTTATTTGCTCTCTATATAAGTAATTATTTTATGTTCCCCCTTAGCCCTATTCCGCGAACGTTCCAATAGACAACTACCTTGCCAGCTGACCACGAACTTAGTCCAAAAACCCAAAGGCCCCATTGCTCGCTTCGCAAGTAGCGCATTCTTAAGTCCAAATTATAAACGCATAACTCTTTTTTTTTGGCCACGCAGCCGAAAAGTTATTTATGTTATTTTGATTGCACTTAGAGTGTATTATTTTGATTATAATGGTTATATATGCGGCATAAATAAACATTTTTGGATTTTCGCTTTTGCATTTGAATCGAATATTTATGAGCAGCCGCATCGCAGCGACTCGCGGGAGCAAACTGCGACATAAACGTCGCGCATAAGTGTATCCACACATTTCGGACTGATTGACAATATATTGGGCCCCCAGATAGGTACCCGTAATACCCGCCATTTAGACAACAGGTACTCTCTTCCGCCTACTGCCCACACACACACATTTCATCGGCAACAACAACCACGGAGACGCTTTGATGTGCAGCGAAATGAGTCGATAAACATTTTCGGGTTTTTGGGCAAACTAAGCTAAAATGTTTTGGATTTTTGGAACTCGATCGCATATCCGCTTTATGTAATGAAAAGCCGTAACAAATGTTTGAGTAGCGTCTTTTGTTTTTTTGGCAGTTAGTTAATTAATTAAGTCTTTTAAATTTGTTTTATTTGCTTTGGCGGTTCACTCAAAGTGTATCGTGAACTTAGCCGAAACGGATTTCAGATAAGGTATCATTAAAAAAAAGTGTGACGAAAATTTTGGGTGTTAAATTAAAAGATAAAATGGGAAACATTGTGTGAACATTTGCATTGCATTTAGGATTCTTGTACACGCCAACATCTTCATCTTCGATGTATATTTTCATAATTTGCCGACCCTTTCACAAATTTGAATGACAAAGAAATTGATTTGAACGAAGCACTAAGATTTAAACACCATTTCACAAATTGTATTTGAATTCTTTTAACATACCAATAACTGCTTTTTGTTGCATTTATTAAGGATATACCTTAAACCTCTTGCTATTCTTTATTTGTCCTTTTGACTGACTCCTTCCCAATACATAATGCTTAACACAAATTAGCATCCTTGCTTAAAATCTAGGGTTACGACTTTAAGAGCCCGGAGATGACACCCACCCACTCAACCAGCCAAAGCAATGGGGCATAATTCATCTAGCTGATTTCAGCCCTTGACAACATTTAACTTTAGCGAAAAATATTACATGTCCAGTCATGATTCATAGAGCTGGTCTGACTGCTGCCTAATTAAGCATAACTGCAAAAAATTCGGGAAATTCGGCATTGATTTTGCCCAGGCAGCTGCTCACTTACCCCCTGCCGGGGTCACATCCACGCCCCATTATAAAAAGCGAAAATTATGATTGCGAAAATTATGACAGCTCAAAAATATTTCTGCAGCAAAATCTATTTATTAGCAGTTCCAGAACCCAAGCCCAGGGAAAAAAGTAAAAAACGAAAAACATAACAAAACAAATCTATAATTTCTGCTCAAGGAAAAGCGATCGGGGGAAAATTTATAGGACCTCGCTTTGTGCCATGCAAATTTATGACAAAACATTTGAATATAGCGTTGCGGCCGTGCAGAAAGGTAAACAATGGATGTAGAGCAAATAGGGCGAGGCGAGCGGGTTGCAGCGTGTGCCTAATAATTTAATTATAATGTCGAAAGCGTGCAAAATTCGACAATTGCACGCATATTGAAAAATTGCACAAACCTGAAGATGAAACCGAAGGGTTTTCCCATTGGGACCAGGCGTCGTTCTCCTGTGCATCTTGTCCTGTATGCGGGTTCAGTTTTTCATTTTTTGGGCTAGGGGTAGCTACCCTTCGGACATCGTCGTCCGCTAACCACGCTTAACGGCTCATAGCTGACAGCTCGTGGAAGGTCTGTCGAGCAACTGTCCAGAAACTGTTCATATCGTATGCCAATGCCTCGATCCATATCGCACCCACGCGATAATGTCAATCAAAAAACTGTTCGGCTCAGGAAAATTGTTCAATTAACATCGCTGGCAATTACACGGCGTCCCACAAGATCCCCAGGGGCGATAAGCAGCAGCGATGCCCGGCCGTAACGGGATAGGGATATCACTCAGAAACGTCCAACCGGTTCGACCATACCCTGCTCTGAATGAGTGACGTGTGACCAGCGGTCAGCGGACGTCAACAGGGGCCGACTCCGACTCCGCCCGTAGCTGACCAGGGGAATATTAAATTAAAACAAAAGGTTACCTTTGAGCATGGATTGTGAAGTGGCCGCCAGTTGCGTGCGTGTAGGCCTAATAGGATTTACGTGCTAAGCGTAATTAGTGAAGAACTAGTTTTAGTTGCCTCTGGGCGCAGATGCCAATCAGAGAGCTCAAGGGCTCAGCGCGACAGTGTCATTTATCGGTTGTTATCGTTATCGAATAAACTACCTGGACAGCGTAGTTTTTCCCAGTGGGTACAGTTGCCACTCAAATGGCTCAGCGCGACTCGCCAGCTATTGACTGTTATCGTTATCGAATTCAGTGCATATCAAGCGTAGCCTTTGAAGAACTAGCTCTAGTTCCCAATGGAAACAGTTGTCAATCAAATGTCATAACTCGCCAGTTATCGGCTATAATAGTAATCAAATTCAGTCGATTGCCAGATAGTTCCAAATTTCACTGGGTACAGTTGCCACGCAAATGAATCAACGCGACTCGCAAGTTATCGACTGTCATCGTTATCGAATGCAGTCTGCCATCTTCGTCATCATAACGCCTATGTTTACACATTCAAGTGGTTTTTGAATAATTTGCATATTTAATGAGCTCGCACGTTAGTTTTTCCACTTTTGTTATCAGCTAGAAAAACAAATAAAAATTAAGTGAAAAAATCCATAGAAAATTGTATCTTTTTTTTTTTTTTGAAAGCAGCGCATTGATTAGCTAAGCAAAACGGTAAAACAACAACCCCTCAACGGGACAGCGACAGCGGAAAAGGGTTGGAAACTATAAGGCTAGGCTACAGCAGGGCAGCTGGGGCAAGCTGGAAGCCATCCATCATTTGCATAAAACTGAAGCTGAAGCATTTAGGGCACGGGACTGAGAGATGCAGGCTGACAACTGCAAAGCACTCGGAGTTCTTCTATTACCAACATCCGCACGCACACACACATAAATCAACTGCTGTGCCCAGTTACAGTTACATTTATGTAGTGTGTAATATGGGATTGAAGCTGGATTTATGTTCCATAAGCTTAGGCGTGAGTATTCTAGCATATGTCGTTTGCATACATTTTAAATGGCACGAATAAAAACTCAATCCAGACCTAATGGATTGTTTAAAAATATGATTGGTAATTAACGCACACCTGTAACAAATTCTTGTAGGACAAGGTTTATATTTCAAATTTAAATTTGGAAAAAAAAATCAGAAAAATGTTAAACAAAATATTTTTGTTTTGGTTTGCTTTTGGCACATGGAATTAGTCTTTATTTTACCGATCTGCATAAAAGAACGCAATCTTTTGCTGGCAATACTTTTTATATATATATACATGTACACACATTAGTTCATGCCCTCTGAAAGTTGGTAGACCAATTGAAAGCACATTGAAATACTTTGTTTGTAATAAATACAATATCTTCCTATTTGCATACTTAATTACAAACGAATTCTAGCCTCTGAGTACATAGTCTTATTAATCATGAATAGTAATCGTAGTTTGCAGCATTAAACGCATTTGGCCGACATATGTGTTGGCCATCTCTCGTTGCCATTATGCAAAACATGGCACTTAGATAAGCAAACACAACACTGCAGCTTAGACAATGGTTAAGCGCCTGGACTGAAGGCAATCGATATGTCTGTGTTCTGGAAATGCAGTAATTGGCACAGGCAAAAGCCGCAGTCATTAGGCTATAGATATGGATGTTAGATGCATTTAAGTGCTGCCAAAGTGCACAGCTACAGTCAAGATTTGCACATGTTTAGAAAGTAAACAACAATCCACTTACCAAGGACATTGTGATATATATAAATCTGATACTGAAAATCTGTGGATTAAGTAAAATCAAAGTCAAACAAGCGCTGCAATACGTTTAGACTAAAACAGTAGAGCTGTGTAAAACTTTAAGAAATTTCCTAAGACCAAATATTTAGAAATTTAAATCGATAAGGAAATTCGAGATTTTGTGCTGGCTTAGATACCATTACATCTACTGTTGCTCAGAGGTCTGCATCGTTTTCCCACTTACTTTAAAAGTTACAGACAAAAACGATTTAAATACCTTGCTCCCAGAATGCCAGCTGCCTAAACAAGATATTCTACAAGCCACTTTCCACATCTCTCACTAATCTTAACGAGTGCATTTTGCAGGAGTTTGGCGCACACACACATACGTGTTGGATTTATAGCTTTGTCTGTTAGAATTCAATTTAATTTTCAATCAGTAGACATTGTAGTTGCTCCACTTGTTGTTGCTTTAGTTATTTCTCCTGCGGTTTCCTTAGCTGCTAAGTAGCCGCACGCATAAAACTTCAAATTGAATGCACTGTGCGGCAACATGCAACGAGCTGCAATCGGATTCTGAAGGAGCCAGGCAGCCTGCCCCCTCTGCCGCTCGCCTTGCCACGCACAGGGAAAACAAGAGTTCAGCTAACCAGAAGGCAACACGCAAGAACTGCACCCGGGACAGCCCGAGGCGAGCAAACAACAGCAGCGGCAGCAACAAAAACCAGGAGCCTGAAGCATGAGGCGTCCCATGCCGGGGACCAGGACAAGGCAAATAGAGAGAAATGTAGGTAAATATGTCGACTGGTTGCTGGGTTGGGTGCCTCCTCGACACATGGTCGGGGACTGGGACAGCGGCTGGGACCGAGGCATGGCTCATGGCACGTGGCTCGCTTGAATTTGTGATGTGTTTTCGATTTTGCCACGCGCGGTTTTTCACAATTTTACTATTTTTCCATTTTCCTATTTTCTTTTGTATTTATTGTTGCAGAAATTGCAACTTTGTTTACTTAAGCATTGCACAGAGCTCTTGTTGTTTTGGTTTTTTGTTGATGTTATTGTCCGTGTGCTCATTTGTACTTTGCAGAGTATTTATTTTCGATTACTTTTGAATTGTTGTTGTTTCTGTTTATGTTTCGCATTGTTTTGCGGCATTTGTTGTGAGTGGCCCAGCGAATTAGCCAAAACAGTTTTCATGCCCAACAACAGAATGTCTCGGACCTAAGTCGTATATTGGCAGAGGGGCCACGGGTCAGGGGCGGGTGGGATAAGAGCTCAAGGGAGCATACAATAATAATTATAATTTTTTCTTCTTTAACGTTGCTGCTGTTTAGTGTAATTACACTTGGCAGCTGAAAGGACAGCCGTGAACTCTGGCCGGCAGCAAGTGAAAATTAAAATGTGTCGGCGTTTTGAGCAGCACGAAGCAAACAAGGCGCGGCACCCAGGCACTGTGGTTGCCAGTCACTAAAAAGCAGGCAAAATTTTAAACGTAACTTAAAGCTTTGCATTACACCTTGTTTAAAGCCTTCCTCAACGCTTTGCTTAGATAAACGCAAGCAGAGCTTTTTTAAGCAACAACACTAATTAGTAGGAAGGAAAAGCTCGTATACATGTTACACGGACACTGAATTTTAAATAGCCTCATGCTTACCTGAGAATTTATGAATTTATAGTCATTAATCTCAAAGCACGCATACATACCTCTCAGATTAAAGCTTAGCTTAAGGTTGATTTTAGTTTCAATAGGCAGCTTGTCGCCAGGGGGATACATTTTCATTTGGCCTCATTCATGCTCTTTGGTTTAACTTAAGTAGGTGAAGTGCTGTCTCCGGATTCTCGCTTAAAAGTATAAGAAGGTGATATTTGGGAATCCAACCTATCTTAAAATTTTGTTTTTAACAGTCTACATCATACTTCCTGACCTTTAGGAAAAAGTGTTATCAAATGTTCCATAATGTTGTCATCTAGCCTTCTCACTAATAGTTGGTGATTAATGAGAGTTATATTTTAGACCCACTGTGCGCTGCTTGACAAGTGACAGGCCAGCAGACATGCCACACACACACACACACACACACACAGACACACACACTGTGGGCACATGGAAGTGTACCTCCTCCGACCTGCAGCTGGTGGTGGTGGTCGTCGTTGGTGCTGGAATATGCGACACTTAAAGCGTCATCGCAGGCCACTGCAATCGCATTTAAGGACTAAAACGGTAGCGAGTTGTGACGGCGGCACGAGTTCGTGGTGCGGCAGGAACTGTCGCATTTCCGCATTGCAAATGACTCCGCTTCTTGCCATCAGCGCGGGCGCGAGCTCAGCATTTTTGTAATTAAGATAAAAGCGACAAAGACAGACCGCAGAGCAGAGGGCAAACGCGGGAGACAGGAAGCTAGACATACCAAAAGCGTTTAAGTGTTTAGGCCGAAGTCCGCATTTGAGCCAGAACAAAGGAGAGCAGCACAATTTGCGCTGCAGCTGCATCTGGAATTATGTCCGAGCGTTGAACAATTGAATCGAAAAAATACTAAATAAAGTAACGTCCTCTTTGGGGAGATTGCACAAGTTCTATCTTCCATACCGTGAGGGAATTGAGATTAAGACTTAGATCGAAGCAAGCTCAGCTGTGTCTTCAAGGGTAAGCCCAAGGCCCTAAGCTTTCGCCTGTAGTAAGGATCTGAGCAAACACCATTGAGGCTGCTTAAAAAATTAAACGGCCAAGTTTTCATCTTCAAAAGAAGTCATGTGTCATCGTTCCTAAGGGTCAACTCCATAGGCCAAAGATAATAAGCATCTTCGAGAGACTATGTTCTGTTAGATCTGGATAAACTGCTCAGTGCCTTGTTTCAGAATTTGACAACTTGAAGGAGTCAACTCGAAAGCCTAAGCACACTCTTCTTTAGTAAGGATCTGAGTAACATAACTTGCAATATAATTACAATTAAAACAAATATGCCTGCCAAAGTGTTCGACTTCAAAGAACTGCAAAGCTATCGTTCCTAAGAGTCCGTTTCAAGAGCTGCAGGACCATCATAAAGAGAGTGTATACACCCACTTTTATATAGATTCCATTTACTTATATATATTGCCTTGCTTTTCAACCGACGAATGCGAGACTTTAAACAGGATCGCGAACTTTTGTTCAGCGTATTTAATTCCCCACATATTTATATCAGTTGGGTATTAATATTTCCCAGTTGTTGCGGTGCGTATAGCATAGCTTTATATCTAAATCAAGCTCATTTTATATATATGTTACCTTTGTGGAATTGTTAAATGTAGCATGCAAAATTGCATAGAGCAAATGTCAGCTTAGCATCAGAGGCGAAGCCAGCCAAAAGTGAGCAGCCACGCCCCGCAGAGATTGAGCGCAAACCTCAGGCAGGCAAAACATGCGCTACAATAACAACAACAACTGATAACAACAACAACAACAATAATAAGGATGGTATCAGCCTGGACAGCTGCACAATACGCCCAACCCCCAACAGAGCAAAGCATCAACCCACCAAGCTACCAAACATCGAGAGGTATTACAAGCTCATCAACGGTTAGGATCCTTTTTTTTTTTTTTGATAGACTTTTTGAGTTTCGGCTGGACCAGCCCTTCGATTGTCATTCAAATGTGAACCCGTTTCGTATGCGTCGCCTGATATTTTGTGACATTTCCACATTAAAAACGTTTTAAAAAAAAAAAACAACAACAAACATGCAGATTTGGGCGAGACGAATGCGAGGGGTTCCGACAGCATCCGCGTTAAAATCTGCGCTCAAATTGAAACATTTTGACCCGAGCCCAAAGTCTGAAGTGGCGCATTAGAGATTAAAGGACTCCGATGATGTTGGTGTTGATGATGTTGATGATGATGATGATGATGTTGATCAGATGATCATCAAATGACGCCCTAATCTGAGGCAAGGACCTGAAATTTGAGGGCTTTTGAACACATTTTCGCTGTCATATTTTGACAGGCCATAAGAAAAAGAGGAAGATAAGATCAATTGAAAAGTAAAATACTTTTGAAACCGGGCAGATTTGCGGAGAGAAGAAAACTTTTGCAGCCGTCAATTAACGTCAATTTATAGCCGCAAGGGCACGTTCCGAGTCTTTAAAAACGCGACAATTAACAATTGTTGTCGCTCCAACAGCAACAACAACAACAACAAGAACAAGAACAAGAAGAACAAGAACAAAGCTCATGAGCCGCGCCTGCGCAGCAACAAACAACAAATCAAACAACATCAAAAAGAAACAACATAAATAAATAAAACAAAAAATTAATGAAAAGAAACGGAAATATTTGCGATGGCGCGAAATGGAGTGCGCTTTAATT